ATAATCAAACGAAGTCGGCCAAGTACTATGAAGCAGGTCCTTAAATTCCGGGTGCATAAGCCAAGCTGCCAGAAAACGGAATGGTTTGTCTCCACGGGGCAAAGGCAAGGGCCGACCGAACTCCAACATTAGAGGCGAGTGGTCCGACTGAATTCTCGGCAGAAGCCGAGTGCGACTCAGCTCGAATTTGTCTAGCCAAGGGATATTCACGACAAAGCGGTCAAGCTTTTCAGCTACAAAGCCAGCCCGAGTCTCTCGAAACCAAGTGAAATAGTGACGGTCTGTGGACACCTCCTGGAGGCTATTATCAAAAATCCAATTGGCAAAGTCCTGGCTAACATTACAATGCGCGTGTGAGCCCCCCCGCTTCTCGGTTCGGCGAAGAAGATAGTTGAAGTCACCACCAATTATCAATGATTCATCTATGCCCTCCGCCAAATTCCCCAAAAAATCCCACAGGCTTTTACGGATAGTTGTGTTGGGACTAGCATAAACAAAAGTGGCCAGGCAGGACGTACCAGCTTTGGAAATCCGCACGTGAACCAATTTTCGAGTATACCACAGTACATCCACTTTCACCTCTTCAGACCACAAGAGCCAAATGACTCTCGAAAATCCTCGGGCTTCGATTCGGAAAGAATTATCAAATTTGCTGAAACGTACAAATTTATCTTCCATCTCCCCACTAACGCGTGGTTCAAATAGCACCATAAGATCCGGTGACAAGGGTTGAAAAAGCTCCCTGAAAAGAAGGCGAGCCCGTACCTTGGACATTCCATGTGACAATAATCATGACCACTACGCACAAGGGAAGGGGCGATCTCCTTTAATCTAGGCTCTGGGCCTGTCGATCCGATCTCTCGTCCATGTACGTGCGCTCACTTGGAATGGCATCCAAGGACTCGCAAATGTGAGGATCCTTCAACCATGGTTCTTGGTGGCGGGCGTTATGTTCGTCCTCCTCCATTAACGCGTGGTCGACCGGATCCACATGGGCCACGCGCTGTGGATGTATGGGCTGGGAACAGTGGGGTCCTTCATCTGAGACCACAAGTGCCCGGTGTTTAGCCAGATTCAGGCCCTCACCAACGGTAACCACTCCTGCATGACCCGGAGAGAACAGCTAAGCTGTCCGTGTTGTTCAGCCCCGACAAGGTTGTATGGGCTACTGCCTTCCCTTTATCTCCCATGGTCTTTAGCTTGCTCGCTCCCGTAATGTCCTTTATAATGGGTCCAGTAGCCTGACCAGAAGAAGGCTTATTTGGTCGATTCCGATGGCCCGAAACCACGCGCCATTCCCGCTCTGCTGGATTCCCCGCACTCCGATCAGGTACAAACCCCGCTTCCTTACCATTTGTCGCAATATTAGCACCAAATTCGAACATAGGAGGTCCTTCTCTGGTCTCTTCATGATCTAGAATGTCAAAACGGGAACCTCGGCCTTGAAATGTGGATGTTGCTTTGCCTGAATCTGTCTTGTCTCCACTTTTGTCCCGCGGGGTATATGGCTGGCGTTGGCGTTGAGGCACCTGAACCCATGGGCCATACCGTTGTGGTACACCGCCGTCCTGTGGTGGTTTAGTGTGCCCATTCGGCGCGTTAGAGCTTTGTTCCTTTGGACCCGTGCGTTCAGATGGCTGAGGTTGGAACATGCACGAGCTACCCGAATGACTAATTCTACCACATTAGAAACAAAGAACCGGCAATCTCTCATACACCACCCTCTGAGATCTGCCGTTAATGGTAAATTCCACACAAAGAGGTTTCGTAAGGTCAACCATCACTGCAAGCCGAACATATTTATCACGAGTCAATGCGGAAGTTTGTTGATCGATTTTAACCACCTTGCCTACGATCTGGCCAATTTTACTGAATATTTTATGGTGGTAGAGGTGGGCGGGCAGACCAGGTAGACGTATCCACGCAACTGTGGCTTTTAATTCCTCTTCACTCGCATCAAATTCTAGCGTCCATGGTTGGACATGCATGTAGCTATTCCCCACGACGTAAGGCCCTCCAGTAAGGACTTGGACTGTGTCATCATGATGCTGAAATTTGATTAGATAGAAACCGTGCTCCAAGTCCATGCCATGAAAGGCCACATCCGTGAGAGTCCATTGTAAAGTGAGGCCATAGTGAGAGAATCGTCAAACGGTTTCATAACCACGACATTCCTCCATTCTTTGTTAATTTCGTCAAAGAAGAGCTTGGCTATTGTTATCTCAGGTGTTGATCGGGAGAGGTCTACGGTCACGTCGTCATCACCAGCCATATCCTTTTCACTATCATCAGGCCCTAGCTCCACATGGTGCTTTTGTCGAATGACCATTTCCTTGAAAGTCCATTTCCGGGGTGGCGGTTCCTGAAACGGGCTCGAAGCCTGTTGGGGAGCCGGAGTTGAAGCCTGTTGGGGAGCCGACTCAGTCGGTGGGTCGAGGGGTTCACCAGTACGTTTCCGCGACTTGAGGCGTTTGCTGGTTGGCTGGGTGGTGCGATCATGGGCCCGGGAACTCTGAGTCATTGTTGAGAGATCGAGAATTGTCTCCCGGATCAAAGATTTCTTCTCCGACATTGAATCTGTGGGTTGGAGAACGATCGCGCTCGGTGACGGACATTTAGATACTTTTTTTAAAAGGGTCTTGTTTTTTTGGGGGCATTACTATGCAGTATTTTTTATTAATTTTTTTTATTATACATTAGTTACGCAAATACCGTAACTGAATCTTATTTGTTATGGTAACTTAAAATCTCCCATTAAGATGATTATTTCTCAATGATCTTGTTGGAATGCTAATATTTGTGCCTTATCCGTAGGTTTGCAATTAAGCATATATCACGTAGGAGACGTGTAAATTGCCCGTGAGAAAAGGCCATCATTTATATTTGTGGAAGAAGAAAACATTTTTTTTTTTTGGTACAAAAGAGGTGAAAACATGGGAACTACACCACTATTGTAAGAGGGTAAGCTACACCAAACATATCATATTCTACTCAAGGTTTCAGACCAACTGGTGGAACCTCGAAACGTTGCGGCCCCTAGCGAAGTTGCGGCCAAAGAAGCTTAAACGTACATCAAAACTAAGAACACTTGGAAACTGATGCAAGACTTGTAATCCAGATATTGTCAGATGCAGTTCTGACATCATCGTCATTCCTATTCCATGTCCACAACGCGTGGGTCCCATTTTGTATCAAGAGTTGCCCATGCCCAAAACTTGCCTCTCTAAACGCAGATATATCAGGCTTTGGATCAATGTACCTGTCCAAATATCACAATTCCAGCCCAAATTGTTATAAATAATAAAAAAAAACATTTTCCAAATTTAAATGGAATACTTATACTATAAAATATCATATTTTTATTTATGTTTTGTCTTACTCAGAAGCAAGGCCCTCCTTATTTCCCCCATCTCCAATGGTTATGTAAACGGGCCCACAATCGTCGACTTGATCCTTGTACACCCTCACGAAGCGCTCATACGCATGAACGTGGCCCGCGAAAACCACGTCCACACGAGCCCGGTAGAGCAAATCCTCCATGGAAGCTTTCATGCCACTACACTCGTACTCCTGTTGATGGGCCTCATTCGAATTGTACCACGGTGCGTGCATGACCACAACAAGCCACGGGGTTCTGCTTCGATCGACCTTCTTCAAGTCCGACTCGAGCCATTCGTACTGTTCCGAATCTGACTCGAAATCCGCGTACGACCCGAGCATGATCACGTGGGCCCCGGCCACCTCGAAGGAGTAGAACAAGTTGGACGAGGACCCGCTTTCGTCGTATGGCATGACCCATCTCGCGTTGTACGACGTGAACTTCTCCGTGTGTATTAGAGGGATCGTTTCTTCTTCGTGGTTCCCTTGAGTGACTATCCACGGCCGGCTACTGGCCAGCGGCTGCACCAGTTGCCCGAACGTGTCCCACAGATCTTGTTTGTTGTCCGCATACGACAGGTCACCCGGTGATAACAACACGTCGTAGTTCGATTCAAATACGTGTTCAAGGGTTGAGCTCGTGTCCTCGGTTTGACCCGGGTCACCTGCATTTATTTAAAAAATGGACGTAGAAACAATTAATCGTCAATTGATATAATTGGATTGGTCGGAGTTTTTTTATATTTATTACCTAAGATAGCGAATTTGATGGGAAATTGTGATGGGGGAGTTTTGAAGGAGTGCTCATCGGAGGAAGGTGAGCCGCAGCGGTAGTAATACACTGTGTTCGGGTCCAATGGGCCGATGACGACATTGTTTATGTGCCCGGAGTGATACAGCATGTACCTGTATCGGTTGGAGGTTCCGGTGGATGAGAAGGAGTTCGATCCTTGGCTTAGGCCATAGTACACAGTTGATGGAGTTTCATCTGAAGTGATCCATGAGATTCTCATGTGGTTCGGACCACTCAAGGATATATGCACCTGCATCATTAAAAGGTGAAACAAATGGCAGAACAAAAGAATTATCAATTATAATAACATTAATTTAGTACACCTGCTGGGGAGAATTTGGGTCCAGGCCATCGAGCTCTCTCCTCAGTTGCTCCGACAGATCCCTCCGCGGCGGCGGGCGGCGGTACTCGGCGGAGGAAGCCACGGCCAACCCCAATAATAATAACAAAACCGGTGCCATCACGCTTGAGATGAGGCGGTCAAACAGTACACATGTAAATAGAGTTATTATTATTATTATTATGAACAAAATCAAAAATGGAAATTATGATATAGTATTTCATTTAGTATCTATATATATAGATGAGAATCTTTATATTTATAACTGCTAACAAACAATTTAATAACGCTCTTTTTGTTTTTCCGCTTTCTTATTACTTTTTCATTAATCAGGCAATTATATTGTTTATTTATTTTGTTATATAATTGATACTAATAACTAATAATAAATTCACATTAAATGGTATTATATTCTATAGTTTTTTTTTCGAACTATTTATTTAAACTATTATTCTTTTTTTTTTTCAATGTATTAAGCAAGTTTTCTCAATTAAAATATGAAATTATTTTTAATGGTATAAGCAAATACTTTAAAATTGCCTACACAATTGCTATAATTTTAATAATTTTAATATTTTTTTTAACACACATATAACTTATAAAATTTTATTTGTATTTGTATACGGTATTATAATTCTCTTTTTTATTTCATCTTAAAATTCAATTTTTCTTCTCGATTTGCAAATTTAAAAAAAATGTGGTTTAATTTATGATGAAAAATCTCGGCTGGCGTGATCATATCAAATATAATTTCTTTTTGAACAGCATGATAAGAGGCGTGCAATATTTGTCAAATTTGTTGAATCAGAGACGTGCAATATTTGTCAAATTCACATTTTTATCAGCATATAATAGCAATATTGTATGTAAATAAAATCAAATCAATTGGATTAATATTGCATTCATGATATATATTAAGTCATTAATAAAGCGTATAGCTAAATAAAAAATCTATATAACAAACGCATTAATAAAATGTATATTTTTATTATGGCAAAAATTTTATTTTGCATGTTAAATCCACGGTATTAAAAAATTTATTTTTTTAACATTAAAATCTAATTTCTCGTCTCCATTTGCAAATTTGGAAAATGTGGTTTTTATTTATTTATTTATTTATTTTTTGGTACAAGAAAATGTGGTTTTAACATTTTTAACAGCATGATAGGACCAACATTGTATGGTAATTAAGGTCAAATCAGAATTTGAGAATGTCCAATTTGTTGATGTTGGTATGGCTCATATATTGACAAAGGAAGAGGGCAGGCTGATGCCTGCGAGCGTAACGGAGCGAACGTAGCGAGGGAAGCGGAGCGACCGAGGTATTTAAGTAAATTTATACCTTGTAGGGTTTTAGTATAAATACATGGTGTATTG